AATGTTCTCGAGGTCACCGGTGCGGTCGCTCTCCATGGCTCACGTCGCCGCCCAGCTCTGCTTCCCCTCCCCTCCCTGCTCTCCCCGACCCGGGCCACGGAAAAACTGTCTTCCATGACACTGGTCCCTGGTGCCAAAAAGGCTGAGCGCCGCTGTAGCATATGCCAGAATTTCCTTCCTTTTCAAAGCTGAATAATATTCCCTCGAGTGTGTGTGCCCCACATTTCCTTTATCCATTCATCCCTCAGTGAACACTTGAGTGCTTCCTCCACCTTTTGGCTACTGTGAATAATGCTGCTATGATCATGAGCGGGCTTCATAAAATTTTTGATTAAAAATCAGTATCAGAGGAAGCCCTGTGGGGCAGGTTTTGAACTGGGCACTGTGCACAAGGAGTCCTTTAGTCCTTTTAGTGTCCCCGGGAGACAGATCTTCAATTCATGAATGCAAAGTGGAAAATTTGTGTGACTTTGCCAAGGTCCCAAGGAGACGAACAGCAAGCAGAGCTAGGTTCGAACTCAGGTTTGTCTGCTTTCAAATTTTAAACTCAAATAATCAGATATCCAAGAAGAACATAGGAGAGATATTTGCTTTTAACTGCAACATAAAGGAACTGAGGGTTCATTTAACTTGTATCTATTTGCCAGTGGTGACCTTGCTTATTCTTACACTTTCACCTCTTTGTTCTGAAAAAAAAAAAAAAAAAAACAACTTTCATTGTCTTTTTAAGTCTGTTCCTAGCAGCGCTTCTCTGGCTTCCTTCTGCGCCACTTTGGACAAACGTGCACAGCTCATGCTCCGGGGTTACTATCCCACAGCTCGCCCTCACTGGGAATCACCAAATACAGAAGAAAATGTCCAATTGCCCATCTATAAAGTGGAAATAAAGTTGCCCCAATAATTGAAAGAAGTGATATGTAAACATCACTTCGTGTCATGCCTGAAACACGACCGTGCTCAGCGCTGCTAATGGCTCTTAGAACTAGCTTAGGGTTCAAACAAAAAGTTTCTACCTACACATTTTTGCTCTCTACTAAAACAAACTTATTTTGGCTCTTTATTACTCATTTTTAAATGAGTGTCATTTCCTCCTACCCATTTTTTTTTTTTCCTATTCGCAAGTTCCTGAAATTAGCAAGTTTTTTTCAGCATTATTCTCCATTTCGTTCTCACACACTCCAAGGAACATGGCATGAATGAGACTGTATGAAAACAAAAAGTAATACATGTAAACGTCATTTCATTTGAGTACCTTTAGCTCTAGGTCATCACTTCTAACGGTCCCTTAGTTTCCCCTGTATCATAATTGATCTAGTCGTTCTATTGATGGATATTGATCCGTTGCCATTTTCTCATTGTTATAAAAAACAATACATTGCATGTATCCATATAACAATAACATGTACACCATGACCTTATTTTTAAAATATCAGGCACATATAATACATATGTACGCAGATATCTGAAAAGAGATAATCCAAATGATAGCGCTTGCCTTTTCCACATTTGTACTTTTTTCGTTTGTTTGTTTTGGGCAACAAATACATATTAATTTTAAAAACAAGAAAAAAGTATTTTTCTTTATGGAAAAAAGGGAGAACATTGTAATCCCATATAAGAGAAAGGCTACAACCATCAGAAATGCAGATCTAATTGAAAATCAATTCTTTGTTGGGTGAATGTGCATTCAATTAGCTGCTTATTGGAGAGAAAAGTGCCATAAGTGCCCATGCTAGTTGTGATATTTACCAAAAAAGGACTAATTTGAGAATGATTATCAAACACCAACAAGTGTACTATTTCGTTGACTCTAAGATGTCTTCAGTTATAAGTTGCACCATTATTTTCTGGACCACTAAGAAATAAGAAAAATTTCCAAATAAACCATGATATACTATTTAAAGGCAAGCACTGCTTTTAAAATACTCAGTTAACATAATGCTGTGATAGGTACAGTTTAAAAAAATCCTCCATCTACTTCTTTTTTCCATCTACTTCTTTAACAGATAAAGCCTTGTTAACAATTTGACATATATTCTATTAGATTTTCTGTTCATAGTTATGAGAATATATATGCATCTCTCAAAATTGAGATGTGTTAATATGCTTATCCCTGTTGTGTTTCCTTTTATATGACTTATTCCTTTTCTCCCATGGAGGTTTAAGATTGTTGCATAAATAAAAATAAGAAATAAATAAATATGTAGTTGATGGAGTAGGATTCAGAATAGGATTTTTGAGTCCTTAGCAATATAACGATTTTAAAAGCCCAGGTTTATCATGAGATAAAATTTTCTAAAATTATTTTTAAAAGTTGATCTCATAAAAGTGGAGAATAGAATGATAGATTCTAGTGGTGGGAAGGGTGGGTGGGTGAAGGGGGGATGAAGGGAAGTAGGATAGTGGGTACAAACATACAGGTAGACAAAAGGTCTAAGTTCTATTATTTGACACAGAGTAGACTGCAGTTAAACAACAAAGTATTGTGTATTTCCAAGTAGTTAAAAGAGAGGACTTGAATTGTACCCAACACATAAAAATGTTAAATACTCAAAGTGGTATTATATGCCTGTAAAAAAAATCACATATACTCTATAAATATATAAAATATTATATATTAATAAAAATGTAAAAATTTAAAAAATCAATAAAATTTCTAAATCTTAAAATTTTGTTAACACAACTGGTCTGACTTTATAATTTTAAGATAACCATAGGAACAGATAGGAAGAGGAAACCCAGATCTCTTACTTTTTATTTCCAAGGCAAAGAGGCCAGGTAGTAAGGTCAGAGTCCCGCCTACACCTCCCCTGAGTCATTTTTCTGGGAAAGAACCTTGAGGGACAGGGCGAATATTATTCTCATAGAATGAGGATGTCCAAGAAAAAAATCGAGGTAGGTATCTCATTTCCAGAGCCTGTACTCCTGGGAGCCTACATTTGCCGTGGAATCACACCCAGAACTCCATGGGAGCACTGGATAGCGGAGCAGTTACCATGTGAACCAGTTGGGAGATGCTGCAAAGGGGACAAGAGCTGCAGTGCTGGGGAACTTTGTGAAAAAATGCAAATGACCAATGTGGTGGCAGAAGGCCCCAAATTAAGGCCCAGTATTATGTGCTGCCCTGGCAGCTGGGGAGACCGGGAGAGCCTCAGGCGGCCTCCCTGCAAGTTCTCCTCCCCATTCTGCTCCCACAGACGAGGTCCCAACCAAACGACCTGGCTGATCAGGAGGCCCAGGCACAGTTCCTGCTTAGCCCCGAGTCTAGGCTGGGTTCCCTGCCAGCCTGCAGGATTACTCAGCAAGTCAATCTTATCCTCCCATGGGAAACAGAGGGCACCCCACTCTCTTAACACGGCAAAGCCTGCCTCCCACAGCCCCTGTTTGTTCACTCTGTTCCCGAACTCAACCCCCATGTGGCCCTGTGTGGCATGTGGATCCTCCCCCCGACTCTGGGCTGTGAGTACAGGTGATTATTCAATCACTGTAAACCTCATCTGTCCAGCTCTGGGTGTGTTCAGCCATCACCATAACCCTGGGTCGGGAGGGCAATATTCCATGGAATATTGGGAATATCCGTGGTAGGGTGAACACAAGGTGTTGGAAACCACACAGCCCCCTTTCTTTAGCAGTGAGGGCTGGCAAAATATCCAAGCCCAGCAATTCCTGTTTTTCCTTTAAAGAAAATTCAATTTAATGCAACTCTAGTCACACTCCCAGGTTCTGGGGCTGTGGGGGGAGGGAGCAGGATGAGAGACAGTGTAGGGAGGTTGGATGCAATAGTTAGAAAAAAAGAACAACTAATTTTGACTTTTTAAAAACAATAAACAAAGTAATATAGAAACTTAAAAATAAAAGAATGGGGAAAGCAATTACAAGAAAAAATAAATCAAAATTAAAATAAAATAAATAAAGGATAAGGCCAGTACAGTAATATAATATCAGGCAAAAAAGAAGAATTAAAGAAAAGGAACTGAATGGGACATAGAAGATGATTTAATTCTCTAAGAGATACGCTGGAAAATGAAAATGTGACACTTATGAACCTCTGAATTCAATGCAATCACTTTCAAGTCCTCCCCCCGTGAGATGATTCTCCAATCTCCTGATTAGAGCTGTGCTATCCCCCAAACTTCCATCACATGGTCACAGGCAGTCCCTTGTGGTTGATCCCACAGAGGGTTGATTGTAATTGGTGTGACTTTCTACCAGTTTACATCCACGTATTGGAGAAGACCCTCATTTTCTCCGCCATTTACCGACCACAGGTGTCAAAAAAAAAGGTATACAGGTTTTTTTTTCAGAATGAGATTATCCTAGGTAGAATCAAGCAATCAATTAATCGATCAGTCTTTGCACAGTGTAAACCCAGGCTCGGTGGCTTCTACATTATTTTCCTGAACAGAAAGGAAATAATGAGCAGGAATTGTTGAGTCTGTAATTCACTTCCCAGTTATGAGGTTACATCGTCAGGTCAGGACGCTGTGGAGATGAATCAGAGGAAGTCAAAGGGAGACGCAGACAAAGAAATATCTCGCATTCACCCGGGGATCTGAGAGGTGCGGGCAGCTGGATCGCCCGTGTGCAAGACACACAGTGCCTTCAGTCATTGCCACGGACACAGTCCTCCTCTGCATTATTGAATGTGTCCACACGCTTGTTACTGCTAACAACAGTGAGGGAGATTGCTGCAGGGACTAACCCTGAAAAGGAATTTTTAAAAAGCCTTATCTAGGTTAGGTGGTGGTTTAGTTTTCAGCAGAGAAAACCCAGAGCAGTGGGAGACTCCTGCTGGTCTTTTCATCTATATTCTCCCTTGCGTTGATTCAAGCATCTCTAAGAGTTATTTCAAGAACCATTTTCACACATTCACTGATTTTGTTTCTTTTTTTAAGCCTTCTGGAAGCAAAACCCAAGCTGTCGATTGCAGCCATGGAGATGAACAGAGATCTGAAAGCCATCATTTTGAAGTTTTCTTCTCTTTTAACTATTCCTAACAGGATGAAGCTACCCTGACTACATGATAAAACCACCTGGGGAGCTTTTCAAAGATCCCAGATGCTCAGGACACATCCAGGGCCAATTAACTCTGAATCCTGTGAGGTGTGCATCAGGCGTGTGAAAGGTAGGTGGTTCCTGGCAGCAGCATGGTCTCGGGACCCAGATTTATGGATATTTTTTAGGTCATCATTCTAAGCCCGTATATTAGAATAGCTTTCATATCTTCTGCAAATATTATCCATTTAGTCTTCACCATGAGCTTTGTGGTGGGTCTTATTCTCCTGGTTTTACAAATAAAGAGATTAGGGTTCACATGAGCTTGTACATGACAGACACAAGTGTATAATCCACTGACCTGAATCCAAGAAAAAAGTAGATCGTCCTGAACTAGATTCTCTTCCAGCTTCCCCAGTGGCTCAAGCTCTCATTACAGAATTCCTATGGAAGGGGAAGGCTGATTACATACCAAAGATTGGGGAGCAGTGGTGAAGGCTACACTTCACACCCAAGGAGGAAAGTAGCTTGGGTGAGTACTGAATGGTCAGTCCAATGAGATTTCTTCATCAACGCATATGATCTGGAATATGGAAGAAAACTGGGAGGTTCTCAACTCATCTCATGGTCAGAGATTGTCTCTGTAATGTATAGCATTACATTGTATGATGAAACGATATGAACTTCGTATCATTTGGGCCATTTTTTTAGTAGTCACATAACATTGTTAGTTTTACGAAGGTTCTGAATGTGGAAATTACCTGAATAGGACATCCACAACCTCACTTATTGTCTGCATTGATTCAATTAATGTGACTGGCCAGGCAGGTGGAACTTTTCCGCGTAATCGTGTGCTTAGTTGTAGAAGAGAGCAGTGTTCCCAGATAGAGGAAGTTGTTTCACTGGGCTGGTATTGAGATCAAAACCAATCGGCAACATTGATGAATCTTAAATTCATAACATTGAGACATGTGTGGAATAGTGAACTATCGACCTCTGAAAACCCTCCATAAAATAAATGGGAACACTGGCAAAAATGAAAGAAATTAATTTTTCATACCTCTAGAAATCACCAAAAGTAACACCAATCCTTCCCAAAATCTTCCAAAAACTAGAAGAGAGAGGCACATCGCTGGACACATTCTCTGAGGCCGGTATTACCCTGAGGGCAAAACCATACACAGACATTACACGAAGAGAAAACTATAGACCAATACCCCTTATGTATACACATGCAGAAACACTCAACAACAAAATACCAACAAACAGAATCAAACAACATATAAAATGACTTGTCTAAGGAAAGTTTAGCCCATTTTAATGTATCCAAAGACAATATTAAGACAGTAATACTTTGTAAATTCATCTACAGATTCAATGCAATCTCTATCAGATTCCCAGCTGGTTGTTGTTTTTTTTTTTGAGACAGAGTCTGGCTTTGTTGTCCAGGCTAGAGTGAGTGCCGTGGCGTCAGCCTAGCTCACAGCAACCTCAAACTCCTGGGCTCCAGCGATCCTTCTGCCTCAGCCTCCCGAGTAGCTGGGACTACAGGCATGAGCCACCATGCCCGGCTAATTTTTTATATATATATCAGTTGGCCAATTAATTTCTTTCTATTTATAGTAGAGACGGGGTCTCGCTCTTGCTCAGGCTGGTTTTGAACTCCTGACCTTGAGCAATCCGCCCGCCTCGGCCTCCCAAGAGCTAGGATTACAGGCGTGAGCCACCGCGCCCGGCCCCTGGTTGTTGTTTTTTAATTGACAGGTTGAAGATAAAATTCATATGGAGCTTCAAGGGACCCAGAAGAGCCCAAATGATCTTAAAAATACAGGAACAAATTTGTAGGACTAATAATACGTCCGCATTTCAAAACTTACTAGAAAGCTACAATAAACAAAACTGTGTGCAACTGGCATAAGAATAAATACAGAGCTCAGTGGAATAGAAATAAGTATGCAAAAATATGCCCTTACATTTATGGCAAATTGATTCTTGATAAGGTTGCCAAGAAAATATAATGGGGAAAATTTCAGTATTGGCAAACCATATATCTGACAAGGGATTAGTATTTAGAACATATAAAGAACTCTTACAACTCAAAAACAAAAAGTTAAGCAACTCAATTAAAAAGTGAATAAAGGAATCAAATAGACATTTATCCAAAGAAGAAATACGAATAGCCAACGAGCACATGAAAGGATGCTCAACATCACTTATTATTTGTGCATTTCAAAACCCACAATGAGACACCACTTCACACTCACCAGGATAGCTATAAGCAAAAAGATGAACAGTAGCAGGGTGAGCAAGGACGGGGAGAAACTGGAACCACCAGACACCGCTGGTATGTGTAAAGTGTAAAGTGGTACAGTTACTTTGAAAAATAGTTCATCAGTTTTTCAAATGTCCAAACATAGAGTTACTATATGATCCATCAATTCTACCATATACCTAAGAGAAATGCAAATGTATGTGTACACAGCAATCAAACACAAATGTTCATAGTAGCATTACTTCTGATAGTCACAGGGTAGAACCAACCAAGACGGTCATCACCTGATGAATGGTAACTATAGTAAAAATTATTGAAATGTGTGCTCTAAAAGTGTGAATTTTATGATATATGCATTATTTCTCAATTTTTTAAAAGATGAAAAAATCATGTTGAGTAAAAGAAGCCAAAAACAAAAATTCCATTTATATAAAATTCAAAAGGCAAAGCTATAGTGTTCAAAGACACATCATAGGTGGTAAAACTATAATGCATTTTTAAAAATGAATGTTATTAAAGCCAAGATAATGATTACTTTAGGGGTTAAGAAGAGGTGTTGGGTTTGGAGGAAGTACATGAAGGAGAACTAAAGTGGTGCCCATAATGCTTCATTTTTTTTGGTGTGAAGGATGGTAATCTGGTTGTTAATTTTATAATAATTCCATAAGCTGCCATTTATGTAATGTGCATTTTTACATTATGAGCTATATTTCACAACAAGCATTCACTTTAATTCACATGAATTAGATGCACTACCATGTACTTAATCATTCCCACATTGTTGACATTTCTATTGCTTCCAATTTTTTATTATTCTTAACAACATTGCAATTAACATTTTTGTGCAAAAAATCTTTCCATTTTATTTTATTATTAACTTGGGCTAGATTTCCATATGTGGGAATAGAAAGTCAAAGGATTCAAATATTTTGCCATTAATACTATGAACCCCTCAAAAATAGTTTTTCTTTTTATATGTTGCATGTGGTTTATTTCAACCCAATGTTCCAGTTTTCCAAGGCCTTTCTGAACTCTGATTCTGTCCTGGTAGCCATCCTCTGTGCTTCCAAGATGTCCCCATCTTCCTCTCCAGTAGGTCACCCGTCCCTCTCGGCAAGTCCAGGGTGGGCAGTGAGCTTGTTCTGTCCCCTGATAGTTCAGGGACCCTGTTGAGAGCCCTTCTGATGAGGAAAGGCTTCCTTGGACTGGAGACCTGTAGCCTGAGCCTGCCGCACAGCCCCTGCCCCGCAATCCGCTCTCCACGCCACGATGAAACTATCAAATAACCACGCTCAGACAGTTCAAAACATGCCTTTCATACTAACAGAGATTGAGCATGTGTCAAGTATTTTATTCAACTCATTAATTAATGAAGGAACCAGTAGGATGGTAAAACTAGGTCAGAGAACAATTCCAGGAATGAAGATTGATAGAGTTAGCCCAAAAATGCTGAAACGGGTTTGCTAATGGATATAAAACTATGTAGTATCCCACAGGGTGACAAAATAGTAACCTTTGGAATTATCTTCTAACCATGCAGAAATCTACAAATAAACATGTAGCTTCACATTGTGGGGGTTATAATCAGGTGGTAACAATCAGAGTCAAACTCAGGTGTATTCTGCTACATAATTACATAATCCTTAGGGAAAGGATTATAAAACCATGCCCCTATATAACGTGGAAAGAACATTCCGTCATCTTTTGGCTTTATTCCCAAGTGTTGGATAACTTTTCCAACACCACATGTGGCCTTGAAAAATCACTGGATTTATCTTTTGCTATTTTGAAAATCCTGGAAAACTGGGGTAGGTTGTGCTGTAAAATCCAAGTCACTACATAGAAATGTATTTTTTTTTCTTTCCAAGGCCAACTCAATTCTGTCTTTCATTATCTGAAAGTTCACAAGAAGTCGGTTCTCTTTTGCTTTCCGAGGCCAACTGCTGTTTTGCAAGATATAAGAAACTTCCCATCATCAAGTGTTCGTGGCTAGAGCATATGCCCGTGAGTTTCCTAAAATTCGTTCACATGATTGATCTAGATGCTCGTGTGCATTTTTCTTAAAAAGAGAACAAAGTTCTACGACCACAGAGGGTTAAGGGACACTGCCCAGCGGGGCTCCTGCAGCTAGTCCAGCAATGGAGTCGGCTGCCACATTGCAAGGTGTTTTGCCTCTTCTGCACGCGTGTTCTACCACCTGCTTTAGACTCACTGGCTAAACCTGCTTCTAGTCACACCCTCCTGTCCACCAGCCTCTGAACAGCTGTATCCCTCTTAGGAGACAAAAGGCACCCGCAGCCCTGTACAGCACCAATGCACACACCTAATAATGCTGCTAAAAAGGTAAAGGCACAAAAAGCTGCCAAATCTGTGGCTGTTATATCTTGCAAAAACAAAAGCCCTGCTGTTGATGAAGCACTGCTCATTTGTTAACACAATTCCTTTTGCTCTAAATTTTATTTGCAGCCTGTCTTTATTAAGAATTCAAATATACCCTAATGTGTATCATTTACATTATGTGAATGTGTATTTAGCACAAAGCTATTAGATTTCCTGTGCAATCTGTAAAAATAAAAGTTCAAAACCCACTGGAAGGCAGGAACAACCTGTCAGCTTGTCATAAGTGCAGTAACCCATGTTGTCATTTGGTCCGTCCAAAACAGATGCATCAAACAAAGCCATGATAGGCCACTTTCACCTCACAAATTTCATTCCAATTAAAGACTGGAGCTCCTAGTTGCAGAATGGACTGCGCCTATTATAAGCTTTGTATTTAAATACACCCTGAGACATGATTTTTGCCAGGATTTTTTTTTCTCATTTGAATAAGAGGGACATTGTAGGAGGCTAAAAGATAGGGGGGGAGAAAAGAGAAAAGGAACAAAAAGTGAGATTTCAATCTGTCTCCAATGATGAATAAATGATATTTCATAAAAGGACAATAGTAACAATAGGTGCAATTTACTGAACACTTAGTATATGGCAAACATTTTACTATTAATATAAGCCTTACAAATATTTGTCCATTCGTTTATTTAACAAATACCTCTTGCAAGATTATTATGTGTCAAGCACTATCTTACGTGCCCTAGAACATAAAATATAAGTCTTCTGCCCTCACGGTGTTTGCCTGCTAAAGAGAGAAGAGCCACAAATATAGAAATAACTACAAATGCTGTAAACACACATGCACGCACACGTACACACACATTTGCATATATAATTTTAACTTGAAATGTGCTTTAAAGGAAACAGGCTGAAGGAATCCAGAGGTGGTTGGCTTGGACCGGGGAAGGGCTGATTTGGCCGGAAGTCAGAGGCTTCTCTCGGAGGTCCCAGGAGGAGCCCAGGAGGCGCTTTCTGGACACGGGACACAGCGATGCAAAGGCGCTGAGACGGAGTGGAGTTCGGCAGGTGTGCAAGATCCAGAAAGGAGGCCAGTGATCACGTTGGATGAGGAGGAGAACGGGGAGAAACGAAGAGGCCACTGAAGGTTTGGGTGGGCGTGGAAGCAGGGGGCGGGGGAGCGGGCTGCTGGCGAGAGCGGTGGGAGCTGGTGGCCGTGGTGGGGGGTTTGTCAGCGTGTGCGTGAGAAACGGCAGGATGCTGCTTACAGTTTCGAAGTGGTGTGATTAGGGCTTGGTGATGTATTAAGTATGGGGTCTGAGGTCAAGGGAGGAGCAGAGATGAACACCAAGACAAAAGGAAACCCCTGCCCTCCCTAGCCCTCTTCTCACCACGGGAAAGCTGGCACCAGACATCAAAAATTCACCATAGCAGCCGAACAAACGTCCGCATCCAGCGTAAAACATGTTCAACTTCAGGAATAATCAAATAGTGAACTTTCCTATAAGAAAACTGTCATTTTGGTCTAGCCAATTGGCAAAGATTTTTAAATGATATATATCGAGATTATCAAGGATGGTTAAAGGGCTGCCCTCAGATCCCAATAGTGGAATATAAAATGAATCCAAACAATCAAAAGGGAAATTTAAAATTTTATTTTTAGTAGCCATCGTATACTTTCTCCACCAATTCTACCTCTTGGAAAACAACCTAAGGACATAACCAAATATTGGGCTAGATTTATGTTCAAACACATTAGTTACAATGATAATGAAGGAAAATTAGAAATAGTGTAAATATCCAATGACAGAGAAATGGTTAAATATATTATAGTAGAGCTATTTATACTGTCATTCAAATCATATTTTGGGATAAATTTTTGTCATTATAAAATCATGATATAAATAAAATTGAATTCAAAAAATATGATTAAAAAACTCTACATGCATAAACATGCACATATAACAGGGAATAGAAATCTAAAAGGTTAATAATGGTTTTCTCAGAGAGGACAGATGATAATTATTTTCAAAGTCTCAACAATGATCATGTATTATTTTTATAATCAATCAATAGAATTATACAACTTGTGCAAGCCCTAAGACCAGGGAACTTTCTGGGATCCGAAATGTGCCCCGCGTGTCAAGATAGGACGGTTGCTTTTAAACCACGCCTGGCAATATCCCTGGAGCCCTGAAGATGCTGCTGCTTCCTGCCTAATTTTACCTCCTTAAGCTCAGGAACGGTGGTGGGAGGGGTCTCCAGGGAGTCCCTTAGGGTCACCTTTGAGTTTGGATTTTCTTTCTCATTTGACTTACTACAAATTGTCCTTAGTTGAGGTTGCTGTGACAAATTACCATAGACTGGGAGGCTTAAACAGCAAACATCTATTTCCCACAGTTCTGGAGGCGGCGGTGGGCTAAGGTCCTCTTCCCGAGTGGCAGGTGGGGCCTCTCATTGTATCCACACACGGCAGGGAGAGGGCAAGAGGGAAAGCGCTCTTGGGTCCCTTTTATACGCATGAGATTGGCGCTCCACCCTCATGACCTAATTATCCCCCCAAAGCCTTCCCTGCAGATCTCCTCCTGGGGGGGTTAGGATTTCAACGTGTGGATGTGGGCACCGCAGACATTCGGTCCTTGACACGTCTTGCTTAGTCTTTCCCTTCGTCCCGTCTGGGCTGCACAAAGCTGTGCTGGAACTTCTTGAATTGGAGGCATGTTTTCTCTGACACATGGAGGCATGTTTTCTTCTGCTGGTAAGAAGCTTCCTCCTCGGCCCGCTCCCTTCATGATTTCAGTGGGAACGTGTGCAAGGTGGGGGCCATTTGCTCAGCCCACGTGACTGTCACACGCAGTACCTTTAGGGGCCCAGCCTCTCTGCCTCCCACATTTGCCATGGGCCCTTACACGGCAGCAGGAGGAGGACAGATGAGGGACCTTCTAGGTCACGGAGACTCAAGAACAGCAGATGTCATTTGAGGGGGGTCCATCCCAATTGTTTTTATGGCTCTCTCTGCTGTTATCAAACCAAATCAGGGCACCCTACTCTCAAAATATATGTAAAGTTGGAAAATAAATGAAACCAAATATGCACTAAGAAATGCCTGTGGTCACGGCGGCCACGCATAGCCAGTTACACGAGCACAGACACAAAAGATTAATTGGTGCCCAGACACAGATGGAAACCAAATTTCCCACCCATGCTGCACACACAATCTGACTTAAAGCTCCATGAATACGAAGTCGGCAGATTTTCCAAAGATGGTCGTGTCCAATGAGTGCTATCATCATTATAGCGATTCTCAAATTTTATTTCATTTTGTTTTATAAGTCTTTAATGAAAAACTTTTCTTGTATAATCTTTATATCACCTGTGGTTCATATGTAGCTTTTGGAGGAAAAACAGTTCTACAAAAAGGTTGGTTGCTGAAGGGTGCTTTAATCAGCAGTCTCATAAATCACACAGTTTTTCTGTCTGATTTGCATAGAGGGAAAAGTCTTAGGGCAGAAAGAGTGTCTCTCATATTTTAGTTTGATTTGCAGGCCCAATTACATTGTGCTTAAATGTAACACTTGCGACTTTACAAGGACGCAGTGCCGAAGGATGAAGTCAAGCTTTGCAAACTTCCAGTGTTGTTTTCTTTGCTGGAAATTGAACTCCCCCTGTAATCCAAGGGTGCAGGCCTCACAGGGAACTTATCATGAGCATATGGTAAACAAAAGGCTAATGTCGAGTTGATAAATTGACTACAGCCTCTTTGAAAAAATTAATAATGAAAATTATGGCTAGAAAAATTATCAAATATGAGCAATGGAATTTAAAAATTGCTCCTTTCTGTCAATTCTTCCAAGTAGCAAGCGCACACTTTCTCCCTAAACTCATCAGTTGTATAAAAAAAAGGCTTTTAAATCCTGTCAATTTTTTCTTTGAAATGCTTTGCACACTTTTCCAGTCCTTTTTGTTACCAAATTCTAGAACAAATCTTAAGTACTTGTTTTTGTCAAGCCTGAAATATTACAGTATCTTGTATTTTCTCTCTCTCTAGTCTCTCACCTACTGACTCATTCAATACTTAAATTGTCACTTAAATTGTCACTTTTATTATATAAATTACCTAATTAAAATACTCATAATTATCTCCACAATCAAACCCAAGCTCTTTAGACTGGTAAAAAAATAAAAATGACAACAATATTAATTGTGGCTGATTTTTACTGAATTTTTATTTATTTTATTTTCCAGATACGTTTCTAAATATTTTACATGGATTTAGCCCATTAGTTCTTCCAACTCCATGAGGTAGGTATGATTAATGAACCCATTTGTCAGATGTGGAGGTGGAAGGCAGAGGCTGAGTTGACTCTACTCCCAGGGGCGAGTATGGTGGAAGCTTCAGCCGCAGAGATTTCAGCCAGGGCAGAGGGAGAGCCCAGGGGCCTGGGCTGAACCTGAGAAGTGAAATGGAAGGGGGTGAGCCCGGGTGGTCAGAACAACACGCTATCCAGGTAGATAGTTGGAGTGGCGGTTGGGTGGGAGCCACTGGACAGTGGCAGAGAGCGATGGGGGAGTCTTCACCATAAACAAAGAGTGTTGGGATTTATGAATCAAAGAGCCCGGAGTGGACAGTGTCAGGAACAGGCTGGAGCTAAAGTAGATCTGGTGCATTCCAAGAACAGAAGGAGAGGGTTCGTGTCCATTCTTGCTCTTACTGGATGGTGCTGGGACAAAGCCTCAAGGAAAGGCAGAATAATAATGGTTCTATTTATTCCGAAATTATTAAGTAAATAATAATTAAATAAATTATCTGAATGTTAGCTAGTCTTCAACTTCCACTTCTTCCATAACAGCTTCTCTGGATGGTTTGACAATGTGCTAGTACTCTTCTGATCCATACAACATTATGTTTATTACCTACGAATGATAAACTGTGATTTGCTATTTGATATTTTATGTATGTATGTATCTGTCTATTTATTTATGTCAGTCCTAGTTCTAAGGGATGAATAGACAGATACATACATACATAAAATATCAAATAGTAAATCACAGTTTATCATTTGTAGGTTATATAAATAATTACTTATTGCAATAATGCTGCATTTCCATACCACTAACACTTTAAAGAACAATTTCACGTATATAATTTACCTGTTGATACACTATTCATTGTCTCGTGCCTAGAGCAGTTCATTATAAAAATTACAGACTCCATGTGTCATTTGTGAATGGATAAGGGAAAGAGAGCGTGTTCTTGTTCCGTTATTCTATGATTTTAAATGTCTCAACTCAATGCCTCCAATTTACCTTCCTAAAGTAGTTTATATATTTTAATGAATATCTGAGAAGAATCATTTCAGGTTTGAAGTATTTTTTAAGGATTTGAGTCCATTTTTTAAACTTAGCTTTCTAACATGAAGGTTAAAGAGATAAGCCCTTTTTTATTCCCCAGTGAAAACTCAACAGTTTTGAGGCTGAGATAGCAGTTAAAGGATTCCTGTTTCCTTCGGTTCTGGTAACCGTGAGCGATGTGAGCTCGGTTTAGCCTGACTTCTCGAGCACTCTACATTAGTTAGTTCTGGCACGTGGGACCCTCTCTGATGGAATTAGTGTCACAGAGGGTGACAGAGCAGACGCAGGACAACAGACGTGGTCTCAGTTTTCCGTGGCCAGGGTGAAGTTTCTGAACCCTGGGCCACATGGCATTGGGAACCAGCATCTCACTTTCTTGGTCTTGATCACGTTCTGAAGCATGGAAGGGGCCAGGAGGAAGCCCCCTGCCGCCTGCGACCCCTTGAGAGTCGGAGAGTACGAGGGGTCAAGGGCCTCGGCAGTTCCGGAGTCTCGGGTTACCATCCAGAGCCAGCTGCTCAGCAGAAAAAGGCAGGTTAGCAGAGCAAAGCCTTTTCTCGCCTTTCCCAGACTCTGCCTTGGCAAGGGGATATAGGATGACTATTTTTGAAATCAGATGCAAATAAATAAGGATATAAGGAAATAAAGATCAAAAACGGCATCCGTTGACTCCCTTTCTGTCTTGGAATGTGGACAGCGAGATGGCTAATTGTTCAGTGACGACATCGGGAGACCACGTCTAGAACCGGTGCTTACTTAGTGAGCGCGTTGGCCTGCTCGGGCTTCCGTAACAAATCCCACAGACTGTGAGGCTCAGACAACAGGAATTTATTTGTCTCCTCACAGTTCTGGAGGCTGGAAGTACACGAGCCAGGTGCCAGCAGAGTTGATTTCTTGTGAGGTCTCTCTCCCGGCTTGTAGATGGCATCTTCTCGTGTGCCCTTAGGGGGCCTCTCCCGTGTGTGCACCAACAGAGACCTGGCATCTCCTCCCTTCTTAGAAGGACACCTCTCCTATTGGATTAGTGCCCCACCCTTGTGACCTCGTTTAACCTGAATTACCTTCTCAAGGGTCCTGTCTTCAGCTGCAGTCTACTGTGGATTAGGGCTGCAACATGGATTTGGGGGCAGCGGGGGGACAGTTTAGTCCCTCACTGTGAGCACATGTGCATTTGCTCGCACGTAAATTTGTTAGGGCTGCCGTGACAAATGCCACAGCATGGAGGCTTAAACAACAGGCATTTATTTTCCCACGGTTCTGAAGGCCAGAAATCCAAGCCGAAGGTGCTGACAGGTTTGGTTTCTTCGGGGGGCCTCTACCCTTGGCTTGCAGACAGCCACCCTCTCACTGTCCCCTCACACGGTCACTTCTAGGTCTGTGTGCTACGTGGGCCCCCATTTCCTCTTCTTATGGGGACACCCATCAGACTGGATTAGGGTCCACACCAATAGCCTCCATTTACTTTAATTATCCTTTTAATTACTTATCTCTAAATATAGTCACATTCCGAGGTATTAAGGGTCAGGACTCCGACATATGAGTTTCGGGGGAGACACGCTTGGGATCATAATGTGAAGCGAGGGGTGCTGGCGTTAGAGATGCTGTTCTGGAGAAAAGCCCTGCTACGGTGGCTTCGGTTCGTGGTGAAGCAGCCTCAGCTGGCCCGGCTCAAGACCTCACCCAAATGTTCATGAGGGTTGTCCAGATGCCACCAAACCTGTTTTCCTTCCTTCCTTATCTCATGGGCTAAAATCCAGGCGTCCTCAAACTACGACCCTTGGGCCACATGCGGTGTTTTTGCCCGTTTGTTTTTTTACTTCAAAATAAGATATGTGCAGTGTGCAGAGGAATTTTTCATAGTTTTTTTCTTAAACCATAGTCCGGCCCTCCAACGGTCTGAGGGACAGTGAACCGGCCCCCTGTTTAAAAAGTTTGAGGACCCCTGGGCTAAATAATCAAAAATCCGTATTGTGAAGTGTAGAGTTGTTACTAGCATTCCATGCCAGCGTGCTTATGCATTTGCATTTTTTTTTGTATTTGACTTATGAGTTTTTAAATGCCTAAGCACATGGTGCATTTTTCATTGTCCTCATGTTGCATCCAAGCTTAATTGCACTAGGGTGAGATAGTGGGACCAGTATAAAAGTAATTATTTTTAATTATCTTAAATGTGTTGAGGTTTGTTTTGTGGCTTAGACTTATCCACATTTTATAAATGTTCTCTGTGTATTTCATAAAAAATATATCCTTTGATTAAGTGATTTTGTTCCATATGTGCCCGTTAAATCTCGCTTATTAATTGTGTTATCAGATTTTCCAATCCATGTGATAAGTGTGTATATGAGGGAGTGTATGTCTGTTTGGCCTACAATTACTAGTATAATGATGAATTTGTCACATTTCCCCTGCAATTAGTTCACTTTTATTTTATATATTTTGATGCAACTTTAGGTAATTGTGTTTAGTTATTTGTCTCTGATGAAATGAAACATTTATTATTCATTATTTAATAATTTTCTATACTAAATGTTTTGTCTCAATAACATTTCATTTGATATTAATATAGAGATACCAGCTTTTTGGTTAATATTTCCTTGATGTATCTTTTTTCACTTTTTACTTTCATATTGCTGTAATTTCTGTGTTCTTGTGTTTTTACTCCCTCCTAATCAGCATATGGCTAATACTGGCTTCCTTTGAACCTTGCAGCACAATTTATGCCTTTTAATGGATGTTTAGACCCTTCATCTTTTTGTATTATCAATTACTTGGTTTTATCTATCTTAAATTATTTTGTGCTATTTTAATACTTTTTGTTCCCTATTTCTCTCTCTCTCTCTCCCTTTTTCTTTTTTTTAGATTAATTGCACACACACACATACCCTTACTTTACTATCTCTTGTCTGCTACGGAAGATACATTCACCATTTTTATTCTCTCAGGAGTTTATGTCATTCTTCATTCTGGAAGATCCTTAAGTTATTTTGCTAAAGAAAAAAATAAAGACTATTAGAAGCAGAGATCGAGTGCTGCATAAAACAGCTACACAGCCAAGCCAAAAGTTGGGTCCAGCAGAGTCCGAGCAAAATGTTCAGAACGCCTAGACCACCGTACTGATGGAAGTAGAAGTATAAAAGGTATTTTTAATCAAACTTAATATTAAATTTGATCAAGCTCATTTTATCATCTATTGAGAGATTTCTCCCTTTTCATTTATTAATTATTATAACATTTTAGAGAAATTATAACATGCAAGGCATTGTGCTAAATGGTTCATATGTTTGATTCCATTCAATCTTCAGAACCACCCTAGGAAGGTACAAAAGGGTGTTCAGTGGGACTTACCATTGCCTCCTAATTCCAGCTACAGCTAGAGCTGAGAGCCATCTCTCTCCCCTGAGGCTGACCACAGGCCCCCAGACGGCAGGACAAGGAGAGAGGCGCTGAGGGCGGGGGTGGGGAGCTGCACTTGCATGGAAATCACAGAAAGCCTGGAAGCCAAGGCCAGCCCGAGGGCCCCGCCCTGGGGCGTGCCTACGTCAGGGGAACCTCAGCAGGAAGAGGACCCTGTCTGTGCCTGGGCAGGAGCTCAGAGGGAGGTCACGAGGAGCCAGCCAGAGTCTCAGTCCCTTCTGGCCACTGTGACCAAAGCACCCCAGACTGGGTGCCTTGTACACAGCAAGCATCTACTTCACACGCCCTGGAGGCTACTCAAGATCAAGGCGCTGCCACCGCTGCTGTCTGGGGAGGGCTGGCTTCCTCCTCCACGGCACCTCCCTGTGGTGACCTGGCAAGGTGGAGGGGCCAGGTCGATCTCTGGCCTCTGTCATGGGGCCCAAGTCCCATTCATGCGGTGCGGGTCTCGTGAACTAATCACCATCATGGGGGACGGTGACACAGAGGCTCTAAGCTGGAGAATTCCGTCCATTTTCCATCAAAACCAGCTGGAACTTAGACAAAAGGTGTTAGTGTGGACATTTTCAAGCATGCACAAAAGTAGAGAGAATAAAATTACTTCCCACATACCCGTCACCCATTTTTAACAATTAATACTATTGTATTAGTTGTGTTTTCTCTCTCTTTTTCTTTCCTGGAGTATTTCAAAAGCAAACTTCAAACACTATATCATTTCACCAAAATATACTCCACGTGCATCTCTAAACAGATACGGAGATTGCTTTTTAATATGCTCACAACGCCACTGTTACATGTAACAAGATGTAACGTAATTATAATAGACTTTTTGATACCCTGGAGCGAGGCTGCTTTGGTGGCTGGAAGTGGAGGGGGCACCAGGGGATCTGCCCAAGGTTCCCTCCAAAGATGGAAAAAGGCCGCGTGACTAAGTGGTTTGGAGATGGGGTAGGAGGGAGCAAAGTTGTTTCCAGACCGTGCCACGTTCAGCACAGCCAGCAAACCAGTCGTTCACGTTTCATGAAAACGTAAACTCTGCACTATTCGCGATGGATCTGGCACAGTTTAGTAGGTACAGTTTTGAACTTCAGTCGACAGCAGAGCTCTCTAGCGATGGGATTTGCTTCCAGGCATTTCTTTGCCAAAGACCTCCTTTTTCCACAATAACCCACACCACTCTAGGAAATATCATTTAAAATGGGCAACCTGTTATCGCTGTTATTGTTCAACTATACTGCTTAATCTTTTAAGCCTCAGATTTTTTCATCTACAAAATGGGAATAAAATTAGTATCTACCAGATAGGGTCGTGTGAGATGAAATGAAAAACAAAATGTATGTAAGAATGTAGTACGGCAATAAGTGCTCAATTCATTCATTCATTCAACAAAAGTGTAATTGATTACTCTTGATCTAGCAGGCTCTGCACCAAGAGCCGGGGACATACACTGGGCTGGAACTGACCGTCTCTGCCTTCCACACGCTTACATCCCAGGGGAGGTGACAGAGGCCAGATGAAGAATCCCCCAATGCATCACGTAGCTGCAGCTGCGGTCCAGCTGATGAAGGAGGAGTATGTGGTGAGATGGCAAAGGAGCCTGAGCTAATCTGAAAGCCTGAGAGAGCTTTCTGCGGGTGCTGACGGATGATCCTCTCCAGCTCGTCTGGAAGTCTGTTAGTGATAATGCAATTGGCAATACACATGCCTGTAAACACCGAAAGAGTCTAAGGCCTTCATTCCCCCTCCTGGACTGGTGGGTTGGTGGGTGTCCCATGGGATGTCCCACGTCCCAGGTTGTACAACTTGAGATTGTACCCATCTTATTCTGCTCTTTCTGAGCCAGGACCTACTTGTTCTCAGAGAAATCGTGCACCTGTGTGTACCGCTGTCCTTCAGCAGGACTCCTGGGCCTGTGGGTTCTCTTGTTCATCATTTATTTTTAAATGTTCCACTGTTTTATTACTGGAGAGAAGACATTCTTTTAGGTTATCTGTAATCCCCTCTCGTTGTACACTATCTTTTCCTAAGGCATAATTCAGTTATTCATGTTAATATAATATTCCCTGGTAATGCCTTTGATCCCAAATCTTATTTTTTTAATCAAAGTTCATAACCAGAGAAAACAGAGAAACAGGTCCGCCTGTCCGTCATCATTCATTCGCTCATTCAGTCCATACCGAGCCTGCTACGACGTGCCCCACGCTCTTCAGACGGTGAAGACGAAGGGAGCCTCCTGCTTCCACGTCTGCTCCAGGGAGAGGAGGCAGACGGTCCAGCATCAAACGGGACACTCTTAGTGTGAGAAGTGCAGAGATGAGAGAGCGAAGTCACTGTAGACGGGATGGTCAGGGGAGATCTGTCCACGGAGGTGACACTGACTGAGAGATGACACAAATAGTCCTGGGACAAACCAGGGAAAGAAGCTGCCAGGTCCCCACGTGCGCCCAGGGCTCTGGCCCCGGCAAGTGTCTTGGCGATGCAGAAATAAGGGTAGCACCCTTGTGGGAGGCGAGCCCTGCGGTGTGGCGGGGACAAAGAGGACGGAGTCTCTTTGGTTTCTTTTGGTAGAAGCTGTGTCTGATAGACAAGCTAATAGCCCGTTGAAGATGGTGAGTGGGTGGCGACTGCTGGTTAGAACTTTATCCTGCCCACTCCCCGCCAGCGGGGCCGTGCCACTCATTCGTTTGTTTAGGGGACACGGTGTATGCAAGTCTCCGATTGCACGGAGACGCGACAAAATTCGCCTTGTATTGAGTGAGTGATCTCTCAGACTTTCGGCAAACAGTTCGACAACTACCCACAGTTTTCAGCGTGGTCTTTTTCTGTGCCTTTAACAGAGAATATAGCAGGACTTGCTATCATAAAAAAGAATGAACCACAAAGTCTCAGATTATGTCACTCTTTTATTTCCCAGCTTTCCCAGCAGGTATCTTTGCATATCCGACTGCATCTCGGCAAGAGCTTGAACAAGCAGTTCTGTAGTAGCACATCTTTCCCCAATTTGTTTTGGAGGCAGCCAAGCAAACCCCCCTCTCTGCCGTCTAGGGCCCTGCAAAAACGCCAGGCCTGTGTGTTTACATGACAGGTCTTCACCACTGCATACCTGCAGCACCAGCGAGTGTAAGGCACCTCCTTTCCTTCAGGAGAATGTGACTTGGTGACAAACAGGGCGGTTCCCCGCCGCCTGCCTGTCTCTCCTGCGCACACAAAGGCTCCTTGGAGGCGGAATTCTATTTTTCCCAGTTCTCTGGTGCCATCTGGAGGTGTGACGTTAGATTCACACCCCATCATTTAATTCTGCAAACAGGTCCAGCTGTGTGGCTCAAGTAGGTGATTCACAGATTAAGGCTCTTCACCTGCGTGCGTAACGATGCCGTGACACCCCAGGTGAGAAACGATTTAGGTACTTTTGACCAGGTGTCCTTCCTAACGTGAAATCAAACAGCAGTGTCCACTGTGAGTTTAATGAGCTGTTTAAGGGGCGGGGAAGGGTGAGCTGTGTGGACGGGCTGACACTTGGAAAGGACCTGTCAGCAAGCTCTTCAGAGCTTCCCTTCACTTACACCGAGTACACTCAAGGTTAAGTCATGTTAGCCCAAGTTCAAGTGTTAGGAGGACAACAGGGAAATAGTCAGAGCCTCTTTATTTAAGGGCACCAGCTGCACCACTTACAAACTGTAACCTTAAACAAGTTATGAAAACTCTGCTACTGTCTTCTTTACAAAACGGGCTTAACGTTCTGTGCCCTGTAGGGTGATTGTGAGAATTAAATGGCATAACGCATGTACAAGTGCTTACCCCAGAGCCTCAGGTGCAGCTCAACAATAACTAAGATTTATTAGGTGTGGCCAGACCCTTCGCAGGATCTACCCAGCGCCCTGTGAATTGTCTAGTCTGGATGGTCAAAGCAGGCTCTATCACAGTGAAAATGATGGGGCCCGTGTGGAGAGTACTTCCAGAGAAGGTTCAGTGTTTCCTTGACCACAATCTCCACGTGTAGGGTATTGCCAAGGCAACAGGTCAGGCTGGACGTAGGCAGGTGGCTTTGCCTCAGAAAGCAAATTGTCAGAGTTCGTGTCTTGCTGCTGGAAAGCACACCGGTGCGGTTCTACTGAGATTCAACGAGATCTGATCTCTCCCAAGGAGAACTATTTTTATGCTCTACAATCCAGCTAGGGACATTATACAAGCACATTCATAACTCAGGTTTATTATGGAGAATTCCATTTTAGAGGCCCAAGTAAAAATTTCTGGACACACGTGGGGAGTGCAGTGTGGCTAGAATCAGCGAACGTGGGTGGGCTGGGAGAAGGGCCCGCGGTCCCTGGAATGCCACCCCTGGAAGGCGAGATGAAAGAAGGGGGGATTCAGGAACATGCTGCAATGGGCATTATGTTTTCTCAAATTCACATTAACACAAATTAACTTCTGAAACAAGGAAACATTCTTGTTACCTTGGTAATTGTTACTCTTGTAATGTCAGTAGTACCCTCTGATAATTATGCATCATTTTATAGTTTCAAAGAATTTTCACATATAAGGACAACATCAAAGAGTTTTTAAAATACATATTAAGTGAGTTAATATAAGCCGAGCACCTTGGATAATACTTAGCACATAGTGCTTTATAAATATTTATTATTATATTATTATGAAAGGCAAAAGGTCTCTTGGATTTAACTTGGATCTAAAAAGAACTTCATAGTCTTTTGCAGCCTATGGATGTGATTTTATTTTTTAGTTTTTATTTTTAGAGTTTTTTAGCGTACCCTCCCACCCTCCCCCCGCAGTGCTCAGTCATGATGTGATTAAAACAGCCAATGTGAGATTCTCTCTTCAATGAGCAAAGTAAATTATTACTTTGAGAAAATTAGGCTATTAATCAAGTTGTTTGTCCCATAATTGAATCTTGGTACACCCTGATATCATCTTGTTAACATCAAAAATTGTGGTCCTTAATTGAAAAATTAAAGCTACTTAAGATATTGACGATATTGCTGAAACATACTCCAAAATAAGTGTAGCTGAATTTATGGAACCGTCTAAACTAAATAAGGTGCAACACAAAACAGTTTTGTTTCTCTCCTGTCTTTGCTTTCGTGCTTGATGAGCTGCATCTCTCTTTCCCATCGCTTACAGGTGCTCTGGGCAAACCCCACGGCTTTTTGGTCACTCTCGGATACTAAAGTGGTATTAATTATTTGAAAGCACACTCTGGCCCGGATCACTGTAAACGTCACTCGCCCAGCCCCATATTCCCGCTCTCGTGCCCCCCGACCAGGCATCTGGCGGAGACTGGAGCGTGGTGTCTGCTCCCTCACGTCCTCTCCCCTCTCCTTTAGAGTCCTTGAGACAGAAGAGAAGGACTTAGGGAAGAGGGGCAAAGATGTTTATATTTAACTGGTGCTATTGGGATTCTCCCGTGCAGATTGGCTCTGTGCAGGAGGCTGGCTATTTGGGGAGCACGTGCATCTTTCTTAGGAGACTCGTAGGTGGCTTCCCCGTGCACATTTTCTTTACGTGGAAGAGTCGCTCCAGCTCAACCCCTCAGTCAGCCCGTCCTCAGCTCCCCAGCTCCTGTCCCAGGCGGACGCCCTGGTCCTTGCATTCCCTGGTCGGCTCCCAGCCCCTCCTGCCTGACCTGCAGCCCTCTTTGGCCAGGTGGCATCCAGGTAGCTCAAGCCTGGACCCTCGCATGGTGTCCACCTGGAAGGCGAGAAAGCTGCCCACCTCCCACGCCAGATACGGGGAGCAGAGGGTGCCCCCACAGCCCTCTGCCTACCCACCCACCGTCTCCCTCCTCCTTTTCCCTTGCTCACGTGGACTCAGAGGACAGGGAGAAGCGAGTTCGCTGCCCACACCAATGTCCAGCCGGGGATCGAGGAGCTCACTGCCCCCAACTTGCACAGACATTATTGAATGCCCAAGTCTTTGTAAGCGGCTCTCAGCACTTCTGCCATTGCCCGGGCAGCGGCAGAGGAGAAGGAGCCTTGGCACCGGCTCTGAAGGGCCCCTCCCCGGCTGCTGCCTGCAGACTGCGCGCCGTGGTGAGCCGGCCGCGGCCAGGCAGCTCTCCTGTCCCAGCACAGCCTGGGCACTCCTCCCGGAATAGGACAACACTTCACACCTTCTGTTTTCAGCTCCAGGGCTTCGTCTGAAAATTGTCAGAGGACAGAAAAAGTCCTATGCACGTTTTGTCACACTGGCATCATGGGTGTCACAAAACTTTTTAAAGCTCTTCTTTTGTCTCAAAAACCTTTTCTCTTGGCAGCCAGGATGGTTCAGCGGGGAGAAGCAGAATCTTGTCCTTGCTGCCAATTTCTGGGTGCTATTTCCTAAAAATACATCTTCTCTGTAGGCATGATTTGATTATGCTTAAAATTTTTACAATTTTTGTGAACACTGAATCAAGGTCAAGGGCTCTATTTTTGGCAAATTACAGCTTCTTTTTAAAAAAATACAACTTATAACTTGGATTGGCATTCAAGTACAAGTTGTAATTTGAGTAGTAATGGCTATCTTCACTACATATCTACTTTTTTTTTAGCTTAAAATAGAATTTGCCGGGTGTGATGGCTCACGCCTGTAATCCTAGCACTTTGGGAGGCCAGGGCAGGAGGATTGCTCAAGGTTAGGAGTTTGAAACCAGCCTGAGCAAGAGTGAGACCCCGTCTCTACTAAAAATAGAAAGAAATTAATTAACCAACTTAAAAAAAAAAAAATATATATATATATATACAAAAAACTAGCCAGGCATGGTGGCACATGCCTGTAGTCCCAGTTACTTGGGAGGCTGAGGCAGGAGGATCGCTTGAGCCCAGGAGATTGAGGTTGCTGTGAGCTAGGCTGACACCATGGCACTCACTCTAGCCTGGGCAACAAAGTGAGACTCTGTCTCAAAAAAATAGAATTTACAAAATACTCTGCTTTGACAAACAGAAAAACAAGCCATCAAGAACGTCTTCTCATGTGTGCACTGCAGACTTGCCCAATCGAGTGCCAGTGACTTATTGGGGATCTAACTGCAACACACAATAACTGCTAGAACATACACGTAACGTCAAAGCATAATTTTCCCCAAAGTTAAAAACATTATTCTCATACAAATACAAAATGAACGTGTGTCAAAGAGCCATTTAATTCATTAATGAGGAAACCGGCAGCAGGCACAGGATGATTGAAAGAAAAACTGGAGGAAAAGGGATGATATAATTCAGGCGTCCTCAAACTACGGGCCTCGGGCCACACGCGGGCGGCCTAGCACATTTATCCTGCCCTCCGGATGTTTTTGCCGCCTCTGCCTGTCCTGCTTAGCAGCCGGCTCGTCCAGGGCCCACAGTACGCACTCTCCAACAGTCTGAGGGACAGTGACCTGGCCCCCTGTTTAAAAAGTGTGAGGACCCCTGATTTATAGTCTATCAGGAAGGGAATACTGAAATAAACTTGCTAAGGGAGAGGTATAACTAGTTACTGTGTTGCATCTCTATTGGGCAAATATCTACAAATTAACATGCAAGTTCACAGAGGCTTGGCCTAAATCACTAGGTGACAGTAAATCAAACACAAGTCCATCTTCTAGGAAATGCAGTCAGCCCTGTGCATCACCCCTGTGCAGGACAAGTGGGCAGTGTCCCCGTGTAAGACGTTGAAAGGACAAGCCGCCCCCTTTGCTTTATTTCCACTTTTTGGAGAATTCTTAAATAATAATAGTATTTATTTTGATACATTGTATGCCATTGTTACTATGTGGTATCCAATAGTATAGTCTGACTAAAAATTGCAACAATTAATTTGTGATATTTTCCAGGTACAATATTTATCATGGATTTTGTGGCTAACACTACAAGCTTCTAGTTAGTGGTATAACTGGTAGTTCTTTTAATTGTAAGGAGTGTAACTTTAAAAGGCAGTAGTTTCCTCCTCTTTCTCCTCCTCCTCCTTATGTTTTAATACACATTTTTTTTTTTATTTTGGAGTAGATTTAGATTTACTCCTCGGTTTTGATGACCTTGACCTTTGATGGGTAGCAGTCAGATATTTTGTAGACTATTCGCCGATTGGGATTTGCCTAATATTTTGCTCATGACTAGACTGGGATTACGGGGTTGGTGGGGAAGATGAGAGGTCACCGACCATTCTTCACACATCATACCAAGGGTGCATGCCATCGACATGACCGGTCATTGTCAACGTTCACCTTGACCCCCACAAACACCTGAC